TTTAAGACCTACCTTCTCTGTACCACATTCTTAGGAGGAGATCATTCAAACATCCTTGCTGAAGATTCTTTGGGCAAGACATCTCAATGACCATACTAATTTTGTCATTTTCCCTTCAGAATTGATCCTATGAGTTTTCACATTTTTCTCCATCCTCTAATGCAAATAGTTAAATATCATTCATATACTACTCATGTCAAGGGTTTTGGAAACAAATCTAATTATTTTGAGAAAACAGGCATTTCAGTGCTTCTATAAATCAGAAAGTGATAAACAATAATGTATGGGATTTAAGAGTCCCTAGCATATAATACCTGAGTTGGATGACTTCCTCTCCTCGTAACCAGGTAAAGCTTGGCGGAGGATAGCCAGAAACACAACACTCCAAGACGGCATCTTTTCCTTCAATAGCTACTACATTGGAAGGTCTCTGCAGAAAATACAGCTGCCTATGAAGTCCTGGATCTATGGAAAGAAAACACAGGATCATATATGTCAGAAAAATATATATTGTAACTTGAATCACACTTTTTCTTAACACGACTCAAGATAATGGAGAATAAAGATAGAATGATGTGAAAATGTCAGTGAAACTTGTGAATAAAGTTCTGAAAGAGCTTTTCCACATCCAGACTATAGAGTTGTGGCAGAATATTACTAGCTGCTAAGGAGTCAAGGTAAAAGGCAAGTGGTATGGGGTGCAATGTCAGGTCACTACTGTGAACTACAGCCTGATTTGTCATCATAGAATTAGACAACACTACCAGTAACTTTTCCTAATTTTATCATCCAAAAGCATCAATATGTTCAATTGGTAAACCACTAACCTCTGTTGTACTATCTTCTGCTTTGGTTATCAATGTAATGTCTTGATGGGTAAGATAAGTAAACTTATTAAATAGTGTTACATAGAATAGAAGCAAAGACAATTAAAAATATAGCTTTTAAGAAAATATTTGATGTCTTCCAAAAGAAAGTTATATTTGTTTAATCTTTCTCATTTGCTTTCTAACAATAAATATGGTTATATTTTATTTTCTTACTTTATTTAGTTTAGTTTCTTCTGTTTATTATTAACTTTTAAAAACTTTCCAGAAGGTGAGCTTGCCTGTAGAGCTAAGACCTGGGTGAATCATGTACTCGGCTTCCTTCCGCTTGATCTCAGGTGCCACTCACTCTACATCTGCAGCTTTCCCCATGCTTACTGGCACTGATGTACAATCTAGTGACTCATAGTCTTCATTTTTAGGACTCATTTGACCCACACTCACTGAGTTCTATCAGATAAAATAAGCAGAAATTCAGTCTAAGCAAAGGATTTCACACTCAAGAAATCAATTTCAGATTAAAGAGCATCTCTTCTCTCCATTATATGACTTCCAGGCATAATGTGGGGAGTATCAGTCAAGACTGTACCCTTCAGTATCCTCTTGACTTAATCTGTTGAACAGTTCCCACCAAAGTTGATTTCTTTAAGGTATGTTATTAAGTTTCTACCTTTCCATTAAAATCCACATCCCTCTAGGAAGGTTTGGTTAAGGTTATTTTTAACTTAATGCATAAAATAGAATTAGCTGATAGCCAATTATTTTATAAAATCAAAGAAACATTTGAATGCAAAGAAAATAGGTAATGAAGTCTTAAAATCAAGGACAGAGATGGATTCTGAATCACCAAGAGAGATTAGATCCAAGCATGTCACAGCACAGCCTGCTGCAGGACCCACAGGAAGTGATGTGGGAGGGATATGAGCTAAATCTAAAAATGGCTATTAATTTTCCTTAGCAGACTCCACATAGGTTGAGAATGACAATAAAAGAAGAAAATAAATCATTTGGTTAGTTTTTATCTAAAATACTTTGCGTATGCAATTCACACTTTCTCAGAATTTCCACATCTGTCTCTTGTACATTCAACAATATAAACAAATAAACTTCACCATGAAAATATTTGAAGCACTTTCCAAATGTGTTAATCATTATTTAACCAGTGTTGTGGGGAAATGCCTAAAAAGTGTTGGAAATCACTAATGGTATATTTCATTTCCCCTCTTAAAGGTGATCTTTCAACTTAAACAAATACGGTTCAAAAGATAATATTGCCTAAGGAAAATATTTTTAGAAAGGACGAGTTCCCACAAAGTACATTTGTAAGTAGCTGTCTTCATAATGTCGAGCAATTCATCCAGACACATGGCCTTTACCACCTGCTTCCAGCAGCAGTTTCTTACATATACTGTACAAGGCTGCTCTGTAGCACTGCCCTTGGAAAAAACATTAGGTAATATCTGCTGATTCAGTGCTAACTAAGAAAAACGTTACCAGGGACCAATAAACAGGAAAATTATCAATCAATGGAAGAATCAGTATTTCAATTTAAAACTAAACTGTGCTTTATCTTATCAGAAATGACAAACATGCAATACAAAATAAATCCTTTTTTGATATTTTAAATTTTTTCTGTGTATCAGAACCTTGAGCAAAAACGCAGTTTCTGAATATCAGTTCCCATCCACTGTGGCACTGTTTCCTCTATGATAAACATCTACATTTCTATCATTCATTTGTTATAATTTATGAACCGATGTTACTCACTATTAGTAACTAAACTCTATAGTTGAAAATAGGACTAATGTTTCTGCAGAGACTTTTACAAATGCACATCATGCATCCATCACTGCAATGAGCAGTTTCTTCATTTATTCATATCTACCCTATTAGTCCCACTTAGAAACCTAAAAATTTGTTAATCATTTTACTATGAACATTATTGAAATTCCTTACATTTTCTCTGCACTAAGATTTTTACTAATTTTTGCAGGCTAAGTCAACTTAGCACATTAAATTAAAAATAGCCTTAATTAATAATGGGAATCATATTATATGCCTCCTTTTCAGACTGGACTTTTTTCATTCAGCATTATTTAGTAAACATTTCTACTTTTGTGAGTTGATAGATAATCCTTTCTAATTGTTGGATATTATGAAATGGTATAGATATATAAAGATTCATTTGTTAACCTGTTAAAGGTACTTTGGTTGCTGCCAGTTTTGCATGATTATGAACAAATCGACTATAAACTGTCTCTGTGTAGATTTTAATTTTTTAATTAATGAAATTTATTATTCGACATAATCCATATTTGCCACTCTCTCCCCCTCTCCCTCTCCCATCTCCCTACACTGCATATTTATCCTACTCCTCCAAATCTCTTCCTATGTTAATGTCTGTTTTATTTTCTTTTATGACTCATGGAGTTTAATCATTATTATCCAAAAAACCATTTGTTGAGCTATCAATTGGAACCTAGTGGTCTCAGCAATGTGTTCACAGCTTGAGACAATGTTTTCCCTACTCCAGGAAACTAGCAATAGCCAATAGCTCAGCAGTAAAGGGTATAAGTCTTTGAGCCTTTCCCTCTTCCAACAGTAATCAATGACAGGGCCTGTCTTGTGCCGGCCCAGTGCAGGTAACCACAGTTGTAAATTCATGATTGCAATGGTTTTAGTATGTCTAGATGATGTCATTTCAAGGTCCTTCACCCTGTTTTTCCAACTTAAATATTTCCTGTTCCCTCTTCTACAATGTTCCTTGAGCCTAAAAGGGGATTATGTAAAGGCTTTGAGCAGGGCTCAATCCAATTATGTTGGACTAAAATCACTAATTTGTATAGTAAAATTATGCTTCACTTTATAGACAATGGCCAAATTGTCTTCCAGTGTGGCTGTGCAATTTATCACACTCACCAGCAATGAAGAACTATTTTCATGACTCCACAGACTGCCTAGCATTTGATACTGTCATATTTTTATAATCTGTCATCGTAATGGTTGTACGGTAGTATAATGTAGTTGTTTTAAATCAGATCCCTTAGTAGGTAATGCTGACACCCTTTCATGTTGCTTTGTTTTAATCTGCGTATCTTCTTTGGTGAGTTGTCAAGATCTTTGACTCTTGTTGAATTGGATCATTGTTTTGTATCATTGATATTCTAAAGTTTATTAAAAGTTTTGAATATAAGTTTTTTTGTGAACGCATGCTAGACAAGAACTCTCCAATATGACTTTGCTTTTATTTGGATGCTTTTTTGTTTTATTTTTGTTTGCTGAACACTGTCTTTTGCAGAGTACAAGGTTCTGAATTTAGACATATGCAACTTACATTTTTCTTTCATGAATTTTTTATGTGTATTGTCTGAAAATTCAGGAGCATATCTAAACCCTCCAGGACCTCCAATGCCATATTCTAGAAATCTTGTTTTTCATTTTGCCTTTAGGCTGGTGATCCATTTTGAATTAATCTTTGTAAAATTGTGTTCTAACTTTTCAGCAACCTTTGGTAAGGTACTTTCCTTTTTCTATTAGGTTGAATCTACTCCATTGTCAAGAATGTGATAACTAACTATGTGTGTGGGTCTGTTCCTAACAGCCTTTTTTTCTATTCCTTTGATATGTGACTTTGTTATTCTGTCAGTACCATACTGTGTGTACTGTCCATTCTGAAATCAGTATCCATCCCCTGCCCTTTGGCTTCTTCCTGTTTGTGCTTAATATTTTCATTCTCTTTCCAAATAAAGGTTAGAATTTATTTAAATCTAAAAATGGCTTGCTTGTATTTGGCTGTTATTTTAATATGTAAATAGTTTTTACAGCAATGGGTTCAGATAACCTCAAAAGGACCTTTTGCTAATACTTCTTAGAATAGACTTTGGTGTTTGTTGCCCTAAATATATTTATAAAATATGGTTAGAATTTAGATGAGAAATATTTTTCCATTTTCTGAAATACAATTCTCTGTTTCACTTAATGAATTCAAGCATTAAAGATGTTTTTCTCTAAATTCTGATAGACATTTCTCAAACAGTGAGTAATTCAAATGTGCTACAACTCTGTGGCAGAACAAGTATCACCACAAAATAAATGAAGAGTCAAAGGGCTTCCACCCTCAGTTAAGCCACTTTGGAAACACCCTCACAGACACATTGAGAATGTCTCGTGGGTGATTTTAAATCTTGACAATCTTGACAATCAAAATCAAACATCACGCTGTCTGAAAAGAAAAGAAAAAAGAAAAGAAAAAAAAAGAGTACATGAAGTTATCAGAAAAAAGTGATGGGGAGATATGTGAGGAGTTAGAGGGGAGGGAGTGGGCATGGATTTGATCAAAACACCTTAGATGCATGTATGAAATTCTCAACAAAGTTTTTGTAAAAGTTAAAAAAAATAAATAAATAAAAAAGAGATCGCCTCCCTCTGCTTCCCTGGGCTGCAAGGCCCACCAGCCTCTTTCGTGGGTGTTGGGACTGACCTCTCCATGTGGAAACACCACTGCTTCCTGATCCCTTCTATCTAGATGGACCCAGTTCCTTCTTCCAGTTATGGAAGCCCTCTGGGCCTGGGCCTACACTCACTTCCGTCTGTTTCCCTGGGCCTTCATGACCTGCTGGCCTCTCTCCTGGGTAAGTC